CGCCATTGCACTTCAACTTTATCTCGTACTCCCCTTCCCCTTCCTCTTACTCACTTATTCGATATTCCTCGCCTAGTCGTTCTCGTTTCCTTCCCTTTTTATCGCTTTTCATATCGCACTTTCAATGTTAGAGAAAAATAGTAAAGCCGAAGTAGATATAAGCAACCTTATTAGGTACCCTGGAAACGCAGCAATTATGAAACCCCAAAGTCTCTAAATAGAAGATCATTGGTCAATTTTCAAATGGTGTTTCATTTTATAAAAAGTATCTTGTGACAAAATCCTTAGCTCACATATTGTTTACTACCCTGTGGTAATGCACCATCCATAACAGTATTTGAATTCCCAATAGATATAATGAAAAAAAATTTTTTCAAATTTTATTTTCTATGATAAACCTTACTGAAAAGTTGTGCATCAATAACCTGTGCTTTTTTCAAAAAATTCATCCTTCAATTTTGTTTGCTCAATGGGATTATATATATCGAATTATCTGTTCAGTTGAACATTAAAAGTAAAGGGTTATTCTAACAATGGGATCGTTTTTCGCCGATGAGGTTATATACATCTGTGTAAATATAGTCATGTTTCATAGTGAAGGATAACAATTGGCTGTCGTGCATTGTAATTGGGGGCTCTGCGACTGCAGGGTATCATTAAGTGCGGCATATCATGCATTTTTGATACGATTAGGGGTGGGGGTGCGTGTTGCTTGCTTAAGAGTATTTGTTTTTCGTGAGTGTGTGCGTCTGGGGCCTGCATTGCATTGCGTTGCAACTGCAACTGCAACAACACAGGCAACTGGCAACAACTGCAGCAGCAACTGCAACTGTCGAGTGCCGACTACTGCCCTACATTCAAGGCAACGACTCTGAGATAAGCACCCACACACACATATGTGGGGGGGGTGGTGGATGGGTGGGTAGTGGTGCAACGCAACTGCCACTGCCATTCAACTGGCAGACACTTCTGTGGGGCATCCAAATGTTGGGGGGCAAAGCACACACACACATGAAGTGAACGAAAAAAAAAATGGTGCTTTCAAGTTCCAGACTCTGGTTCCTGCACACATGTGCATCCTACACTTATACATATATGCTCACATGTCTGTGTTTGTGCGGACGTGGGTGTATTTGTGTAGACATTCTAAGCGGTCATAGTCCCAGTAAACTTTCGCTGGCCATACATTCAGGGGAGGGGGTGGATGAAAGTGGGGGAGGACCGGGAAGTGAAGTAAAACAGTGCCGCAATGAGCAAACAGAAACCGAATAAATTGCTACAAATGCGAAATATGCAGACACCATGTGGTGGCAACTCTATAAAACATACATATAAAAGGGGGAGGGGGCGATGGCAACCCACTGGGCCTAATGTTTGCCATATGTGGGTGGTAACTCTGGGGGTAAGGCCTGGCAACGCCACATGTAGTGACAACACTGAGTAGTTGCCTCACAATTTCAGTGGGTCAAACCAAAAGCAATCCTACCATGTTTATTCACTGCCAAATAATGCTTCCGCATATTAGGGCCAGAAAGGTAATAAACAAGCAATTCACAACTTTACTTTCGTCCTCCAAAGAAGAAGAACATATTGCCCAAACGAGCCAACTACACAGCCTCCATGTGGTGGTAACTCTAAAAAGCACTTAGGAGGGTGAGGGAAACTCACCCAATTTAACATAACCCTATGTGGTAACATGCAATTACCATTTCAATGGGTCAATGCAAAGCGAATGATGTACCACCGCCGAATATAGCCTCCAGCCTCCCTATATTTATCCAAGGAAACTAATGTAGGGACGAATGACATTTCCACATTCATGTTTCCAAGGAATCGAAATTTTTGGTTGCAAACAGCATGCAATCAGTAATAGAACATATTGCAAAAGTGGGAAATAAAGAGGAACCATGTGGTGACAATACTATTAAGCATCTTTTAGGTCCTTAAGCATAATGCTAACCATATGGTAACTCCTCAGATGGGTAATAATAGGTCTAAGTCGGGGCACCACTTAATGTTTCTTTAGTTGTTTCTTCACTATTGACATAAAGATCGCTTTTAAGCTTTCAATTGAAATGAAAACTCATACTTTAGTTATGTTTGATTATATTTCGGGTTGTTAATCCTTTACAGTGCAATAACAGATGTCACCAACCGAAAAAAGAACCAAAAACTTTCCTCGCTCTGATCTTGGCTTCCCTCTTTCTTTCTCTTTCTCTATCTCTTTCTCCCGCTCTTGCGGTGACGCATTAAATTTCACCTAAACTTGAATTGAAAATTTTCATGATCAACGGCCATGATGAGGCCTCCGAAAAAATCAGAAAACAACAAAGAGGAGACTCATCCGTTTAGTAATCAAGCTGAAGCATCTGCAAGAGCATGGACGGTGTCTGCGCGGGGGTGGTGTTGGCGAGGGGGGAGGGGCGGCTGCCAATTAACTGTGATGGGAAACAGTAACACACACACGCACACACTCTCAACCTTTTTTTGGAGTAAAAGTGAACGGGCAAGTTCAAGTTTATTTTCTGGAGAAACAACAACGCACAAAAATTAAGCTACCCGAAAAAATAAGAAATAAATAAAGGGCGTCAGAATGACGAAAAAAGAGGGGGCCAGAAAGAGAAAGGGAGAAAGCGCAAGAGGGTGACAGAAACAGATAAAGATGGACCAGAGAGGGGCAGAAAGAGAGGGGTGGGGGAGGGTGGATGGAGCCCCAAGGTGTGGCAAGTCGTATTCGTGTATGTGTGTAAGTTTGGGCTTGACCCCCGAAAAAGACGATGCCAGAGATGTTTGAACTGTAACTGTAACCGGTTTTTTGTGCCTTGTTGGTTGCTGGGTGGTGCCAAAGGTGGGTGATAGGTGTGCGTTTCGGGGGGAGGGGGCTGGTCTAGGAACAGCCATCATTTACAAGTCGCAAACAGACGTGTGCCGCGGAGGGGAGGGGGAGGGTGTCTCCTCGAGGAAAGCTATCATAAAACAGACAACCCAAGCAAGTCTGCGACGACTTAACTCTTGAATACTCTTCGTAAATTATGAAAAGCTGACACAGATTGGGGAAAACTCAATTGTTCCTAACTTGCATTGTCCCTTGCATTTCTTTTGAATAATTGAGCATTCCGTAGGACAAGTTTTACAAGTTATTTACTTTCTACTAAGTTCTAAAGACACCACCTATCAATTGTACTAAATATTTGAGAGCCCTGCTAAAAAAGTTTTACCTACTGAACCTATTTGCTTTCAACAAGGAACTACCTATCGATTTCACTTAATAATAGAGAAACCCATAGAACCACAGCTAACACCATTTCAATAATTCGATGCTTCCTTTTGATATAAGGATGTAAAGAGGCATTTTTTATTTAATTTCTTAGAAAAGGAAAGTTTAATTGTAATTGAACTACGTACGGACTGTACGTTTCTCATAAGCAATATTAATAAAAAGCCAGAAAGAGTATGCAGAGCTTTACTTGACCCTCCTCCTTTCACTAGCCCCCTCTTACTCTTTCTCTTTATCTCACTCTGTCTCTTTCCCTTGACATTTTGGTTGTCTACCAGTTTTGGGTAAGCTCGATGTTGCTGTTGTTGCTGTAAAAAGGGCGACGAGTTTTTGTTGTTGGGCCATTAAACGTTCGTTGACACCGTCAAACGTAGCTGGTTAAAAAGCGTTTCCAAATGGAAGTGGAAGATCTTTCCACCAATTTTTTTGGCAGCAATTGCAGGGCCATAAAAAAAACCAACACATACACATAATCGATTCGCTGATTAGCGCCAAAGAGTTAACGATCGCAGTTAACGGTAATTGTTCAATGTCCCTCAATAAAAAATATATAGATATTAAAATATATTTAATGAAATAGGATTACCGACAGTTGTTTTCGAAAACAAAATAAATGTATCCATGTTGTTCTAGGGATCATGCTAAAGATACATTTTCATGACGGAAAGTTACAAATTACAATAAGTGTATGACAATCTATTGTGCAGACAAAATTCGGAGCTTGAGAATACCAAAGTAAATCTCTTTTTATGTGGCATTACATATAATGTGTGATGTGTATTAATTTCGTTTCAATTTGGTAAGTACAGTACAACAAAAACCTTTGAGTCGTCTGAGTTTCAACGTAATTGATGTGAAAGTGAAATTTTGTTCGGTATGTTTTTGGCTTATTTTGTTCGCCGCTTTACTTTTCACTCTTTTCTTTTTCGGGTTTTCGGACAGGGGTCAAAATCTGACGGTCATTACGAGTTGACCATAACCTTAAGTTTTTTTTCGGGGGAAGAGAGAGAGAGATCGCAGCTGTTTTTTTTTGTTTTTGGGAGGCGGAGGCTGATCAACGCGATGTTACGAGAAAAGTGATAAGGAAGAGGAAGAACACGTGAGGAAGCAAAAGCAGAAGCAAATGCAAAAGCGAAGAGCAGAAGAGAAAAAGCGGCGGCAGAACGGCTGCGCAGTCGGTAGAGGCAGCGCAGTCGGCGTCAACGCAACGGGTTCAATGGCTGACCCAATTTTACAAGAGCGTGAAAGAGAGGAGCGCGGCGAGGAGGGAGCGAGAGGAGTGAGAGAGAAGTGGAGTCGTCAAAACGAACGGGAATTGTGTTGTGAAAGCCAACAGAGGGAGATGGCTATAGAGCAGCTAAGCAGAACGCAGCATAATGCAAGTTCACTGAGCGATCGCTCTATCTCACTCACTCCTTGCCGCTTTCGTTGCTTCTAACAGTGTGTTGTTGCTTTTGCTGATTGGCATTCCATGTTAGTGTTGTTGTTGTGGGATTTGTTCATGCGCAAACAGTTCGTTGTTACTTTTATGTAATTTCTTTTCATTTCATTTCTGTCTTTCTTTCTTTCTCTGTGGTACTTGCCCTTTTTTACCATTCACTTTCTTTGCCCGCGAAAGAGGCAGAAATAATCGAAGTTATAGCATAGCCCATGGTAAAAATCTGTTCAGATCATAAAAGCTTCTGAAAAATATCGCAGAGATTACATGAAAGTTTATTGAACTTTCAATTTCGCTCACAGAGTCGCTCGGTCAACAAGTCAATGGCGCCCGAGCAGCGCCAACGACAAAAAAGAATTGCCGATCCGATTTCAAAAACCGATTCAATTCGCATCGCATCACAAATGCAGTTCGTGAGAAAATCCAACGCGCAACAGAAATAGCTGAAGCAAATACAGGAAAATGTTCGGCTATGTGGAAATCGGCAAGTAGAAAAGTACGGAGCTTAATGTAGAGTTTCCAAAAAGTGTGGCTACCCTGGTAAACTTAACTTAACTTAAAATAAAAAAACAAATAACCGTTTAGTAAATTTTTTAAAATTATCAGCTTTATTTACCGATTCTTGAATTTTTAAAAGTCAAGAAAACTTGGGAAAATGTAATATTTTTCTATAAATGTTTCTTTTTTACATTTTCTTAAGTCAAATATTGAATATTTATTCCCGACAATCAATATTTCATACTCCAAACTTTCTAAGAACTGGAGAGACATCTAAGGGGTTAAGAAATCCGCAAAATCGACTTCTCATAACTCTTGTTGGCACCTTTTCCATATGTCCGAGGTTACTGCCAATGGCTTTCGTAAAACCCTGTTCGTTTATTGCCCTGGTGGTGGTAAGACTTCACATTGATTTTGGCTTCAGCCACTTTCCATTGCATAAGTCAAAGTTGCCAAGGAGGTATTGGTTACAAAGAAGTACCAGTGGGGTAGAGCAAAGGGGGGGTTGCCACATTCAAGGAGTGTTGAACACGTCGGTCTGTCAAACACTTAAAATCCACTTCCCAACGGACACTCGAGTGTGTCCCACACTTCAAAACCACCTCCACAACCCTTCCCCATCCTCACCTCATTTTTTGTCTTGTGTTTTCCTTAGCAAAGCGTGAAATTTTTGCACTTCCTTGTTTGCATGCAACATACTAGACTCAAATAGCAAAGGCAACTACAAAGCCCCCATTGCCCCGTAGCTCCCTGCCCCGCTCAGCTCCCCCCTGCCCGACCTCGACATGGCCCGGCCTTCCTGGTATGCTCCACAACACTCGGGAACGGAGGCGGAGGAGAAGGAGGTAACCACCGACTTGGCTGCTCCGCCTCCATTCGACGCTGCTCGCCTAGTCGCTGATTACATGCAGGCACACACAAATGCATACACACCGCCGTCCATCGTAATATCACTAATGGCTGTGCAAATAGGTCTTTCGTTTACTAAGCCATATCGTGCGGAAAAATAAAACTTTGTAAAAAACCAGTTGCAAGAGATTTACACAGTTTTAAATCCCATCATAACTTATCGTAACACATTGATTAACTAGTCTTAGGCCAAATTATAATGGGCAGAAAATATGGTTTGGTGACCCCAAACGATTATGTTCGCTCAATAAAATTTTTGAGTGTGTATGGCTAATAAATGTCTTAATTGTTAAGTTGGCATTTAGTTCATAATACTATCATCAATACTACACCAAACTTTATATTAATGTAGTGTAACTTCATATTAAGAACATATTTCAAAACTCAAATAATAAATATAATCTAGTGCCAGAACAACTAGTTGCACTGCTATTGGTGCGCCCGCAGCTGTATCGGTGTTTGTGTCATTCGCGTCATTGCATGTTCACCAACGCATCGCCAACTATTCCGCAGCACCAACACCCCCTACCCTGGGAGCCACTGCACCACCGAGCCACCAGTAGTCGCTCCTACTGTGCCACTGGCTTTTTGGCTCTTTCATCATGGCAATTGGCGTCACTGCCTCACTGACTGCGACGTCGGCGTCGATGGCGACGACGACTGCGACAGCGACGTCGACTGCGACTGCGACTGCGACTGCAGCCGGCTGCAGTTTGCATCATCACCTTGTGCCGTTGTCAGGGCATTGGCACAGTTTCTACACTCACACACATACTCGGTCACACCGACAACAGCCGTGCACATTTGTTGTTTTCCTTTTTTTTTGTTGCTCTTCGCTGTTTGCCTCAGTTCACTTTGCTTCTATTTCGCCTTTGGATTTTTCTCGTTTTTGCTGCTCTTGCACTTTATCGATAACCAGCTGGGCAATCGGTAACGGGATTTAGCTTGATAACAGGACTTGGAAGGCAGGTGAAGACTATGCGTGATTGTGCAAAATATCACGATGTATCTATAGTAGATTTAAAATAAACTGCACTTCTAATTAACAGAATGGATTTATTTGGACGGTATCCCTGAAAATTTTCGTATACGTAATATACAAAAAAATTACGTATACTTAACATAGTTCTTTAAAAATTACGTATACGTAATGAAGTATTGAATTATGTCGTACACCTAACTGCAGTTCTTATTAACAGGAAATATTTTTTTGGACAGTATTCTGCAAAATGTTCGTATAAGTAATATTGTATAAAATTACGTATACTTAACAAGTTCTTAAAAATTACGTATACGTAATGAAGTAATGAATTATGTCGTATACCTAGCTGCAGTTCTTAGTAACAGGATATATTTATTTGGACGGTAGTCTGGACAATTTTGGTATACGGAATATTTATTAATATTACGTATACTTAACATAGTTCTTTAAAAATTGCGTATACGAAATTAAGTATTTTGCAACATGTTTTGCTATATACAAAATATACTTTGTAAAACTTGCACATTAATTAATAAATTATATTTTTTTGCCAGTTAAATAACAGAAAATATCAAAATAAATATAAAACATTAAAAGGCCCAAGTCCGTCTATCCTTCGCCTTTACAATTATTTTGCAATTCGTCTAACAACAATCCCATGTCCTTCGTTTTGATTACCGCCTTGGCTGTGGCTATGATTTAGTTCATCGATTTGCTGTTACCTTATTCATTCACAAACTGACAGAACTACCGAGTAATTGAGTCCATCAGGCAGCTTAAATTGATCTAATCACTGATTTATATTTATTATTTATTATAATCCCTTGATTGATTCGCTGACATTTAGCTTGATGCAGTGTGCATTCCACACATCTGGGTAATACATTTTTTAAGCCACCTCAAAGCGATGATAACCAAATTCTTGGCTGTAGGATAATTAAAAATCCTGGGGGAAGAGTTTTTGCTGATGGCGGCTAAAAACCATCTTGACACTTACCGCATTTACCAAGGCGGCGGAGGATGCCACGAATGCTGACGACAACAGCGAAGAGGAGGCGACCAAGTCTGGCGTTTCACTCAAATGAAAATGGCTGCAACAAAGAGATAAAGATTAATTACATAATGAAGTCGGGTAAAATGTGAGTGGAAATAAAGAAAAACCCGTCAACAATGTTTAATTATTATTGCTTGGTACTCCGGGTATTTAATTTAAAAAAAGAGGTGCAGGCTTAACTAACACAAAGAGTTCTTATGGCAAATTAAGCTACCAGGACTAAATAAAGTAATTTAAATTTTATCTTAACATTCTCAACAGGTACGTTAAAGTGTGTTTCATATAGCTTTATTGAATAATAGGGTAAAATGTTATAAGTTTTGTGATTTTGGAATATCTAATACTTAGATAGAACTTAGTAGGCTTAAGATGTATTAGCGATACCTTGCAATTAATTATTAGCTTCACTTACTACCTACACATATTACAAAGACATTGAATTCGAGGCTATGTGCCTGTTTTGCTTCTGATAACAGGTAAGGAGTTGTCTACAATATTTAACATGGAGTTTCAGTTTAGTAGATGCCTGTTCACCTCATCCCTTAACAAAGGCTTCTATTCCGAGGCAAAGTGCCTGTTAAGCACTGATAGCACGTTTACTTGCGCTAGTTAACAATAGAGTAGACAATTACAATTAAAAGTAAATGCATTTTTCTACGGATTTAAGATCGAAGTCTTTAAATAAGATACATTTTTTTGTAGAAAAGAGCATATTTCCAGAAAAGCAATGAAACAAGATGTCCCCTTCACTGCGTTGCACAGTTTTGACCAAAATTATGATACTCTCTGCAAGGGTATAAAAAACGCACAGAGCCCGCGCAAATTAGGAGTCATTTACATGGTTTCCGGCTTAGCGTTATGTCCCAGGTCGTTGCTAAAATTACGCAGCCTTGGCAGCAGCTTTCCCGCTCCTTTGTGCGATCCAGGAAAAGCTGTCCCAGGCCCCCCTCTAGATAACCACCCCTCCCACCACAGCTCCCCTTCCCCGAAATCAATGTCTCTGTCTGTCTGTGCGCCAAAATATAAAGCTTTTGAGGGTCGCGGTGAGGGACAAAGTTTAGCACTAGCACTAGTTCGGCATTAGCCAGCCAAGCCAAAAGAGAACGAGAACTCTCTCGCTGGCTCTCTCGGAAAGGAAAAGCTCGCTCGTTTCGTTGCAAAAAGGCGAATAAGCGAATAATGTACATCACATCTGTGCGATTTTCAACCTCAAGTGAACCAAAACGAGGCGCAATGAGCATGAGAATGGGACGGTGGGAAAGCGGGGAGGGGAATGGGTGGGCTGAACTCGGCTGAACCGCACTGAACCTGCCCCACGGAGCTGGGCCATTGGGATAGGTCCAAGTCCTCTTTGCCCCCGTGCGCCTGTGTGTTGTGTTCGCTTCCCAGTTTGCGAGAGTGCTCGACTGGGAAGGCTAAAAATAGTTAAATGCAGTGGCTCGGTCTGTCGGTCACTTGCCCAACACCCCCTGCCCTTCCTTCGCGAAAAAACACAGCCCCCACACACATGGAAAACTGTCCTCAGCTTATTATATACAATCTTTAAGATCAAAATAAATTGCAAGGCACATTGAATAGAAAAAATTATATTTCAAAAATCGGAATACCCGAACAATCTATAGTCTTTTTACCAAATATAACCGGAAAGGTTTTTAAAGTAATTAAAAAGAACAAAATAAACACACATTTTGTAGTTATTATAATTAAAGTAATTTCAATGATAGTCCTTTGACATTCAGAGTATTTAAAATTAGAAAAAATATCATAAAATAAAAAAAAGCTTTAATTTTGACACCTTTGACCGTTTAAAAATATGATTTTGATAAGCAAATAATTTTATTTTGTTGGCGAACACATTCGCTACCGATTTTCTCACAGTGCATCTCTGGTTGCCTCCCCTTTCCGCCTTCCCCGCCGGCTCTTTCACTTTTGTTTTACATTTTATTGCCTTGCTGGCAGTTTTTTGTGCTCAGGTCTTTTTTGTTGTATTTCAGATAGAACTGCAACGCCCCGCGCCACACGCCACACGCCCCTTTTCGACCCATTCAGCATT